ACCTACCTTTGTTAGTGTGGACTGCATTGGGTGGTCTGTTGTATTCATTGTTGTTACACCACTTTCATAGCAAGACACAAAGATTGTCATTGTAGCAAATGAAACACATATCTGCAGCCTTGAAAATTTCCTTTTAAACATGTACCACAGCCGACACCTTCATGTTGGGACATGCTAGTTCAGACGGTGACAGCGTGGCCTCTCCCAGTTGAGCTCCCAAGGAATTTGAGAGCAAGGTCAAGTGAATTGCATACATTTGCCTGGCATAACCTGGAGTTTCAGCCCTGAATGGACTTGTAATAAAGCCCTGTTCTGATCAAGTATATCCGTAGTCGAGCAGCACTCTGGCACATGGCCTGAAGGTAATGGGGCCAGCTGGCACTCTTCTTGTGGCTTAAATACCGTGTTGGACCACACAGGTACCTTTTTATCTCGGGCTATTAATCTTAGAAGTTCAATTTTTAATCTTAGAAACTGGAAACTCTTTTGGTAGAGCAGGAAAGTGGAAAATTAATTCTTACTAATGCAATGAAAAGATTGCCAGGAATAACTAGAGTATAGGTAATTCAGTTTCTTTTCTCAGTCAGTAAACCTGGTGGTAGTGAACCCTATCCAGGCATGTATCCTCTTCAACTCCTAAAACACAGATTTAACCTAATCATCATTCAAATGCCTGTGGTATATAGATAATAATCCATATAATTGCTCTCAAAATACCACTTTTCTGTTGGTGTAACAATTGTTATGCTCTAGTTCTTTCAAGACACATTTCATTTGGCTAACATGGTTTTGTCAGAATTGTGGAATGCATCATCAGCTATCCTATCATTGCTGTGGTGGCCATTAATTTAATGACTATTTGAGTACCATCAGTACTCTGGGACACATGTGAGGTACTGTCTCCCTTAGCAAAGTTGTTTGGCCAAGAGTTTCTATGTGAAGTCACTTACCTTTGTGGTTGCCTTAGGGCTTTCTTCCAGGCTTTTCTCCCTACCGGTTAGAACATGCTTGGACTTAGCCAAACATGCTAACAATCATGTACTCATCCATGTCTTTAATAAATGGTAATTAAAATCCTCCTGTTGTGCCACGTGTCTCTGTCTCTGTGTGTAGACCCGGCATTATCTAATGACTAGAGGCCCGGTGCACGAAATTCGTGCACAGGTATGGTCCCTAGGCCTACCTGCGATCAGGGCCATTTTCCCTGACTGCCTGCAGCCGACCCTGCCCACTGCAGCCGACCCTGCCCACTGCCGCCACCCACTCTCAGTTCCCCGTTCGCCATCAGGTGATTGGTGCTTGACTGCCAGGGGAAGGGACTGAGAGGTTGGCTGTTCCTACCTGCTCTCCAGCCCCGCCTCCGCCGCAGGTTGCTGTCTGTGTGTGAGGTGACCGGCAGGGCGGGGGCCTTGGCCTGGCGCTGTCTGCATCCCCCGCCACCTAACCCTGATTCCCCATTCGCCATCAGGCAATCGGAGCCTGCCGGCCAGGGAAAGAGACGGACAGGTGGTCAGTGCACCTCATAGTGACTGGTCCAGGGGTTGTTCTGGTCATTCTGCTGTTAGGGTCAATTTGCATGTTACCCTTTTATTATATAAGATAGAGGTCTGGTGCACCAGTGGGAGCCAGCTGGCCTGCCCTGAAGGGGACCCCAGATCGGGATGGGGGTCCCCGCTGGGGGGCGGGGACGGCCTGGGCGAGGGGCTGGTAGTTCTGATCTCTGGTCATTCTGGTCATTATGCTCTTTCTGTCACTGGGCTTTTATTATATTGGATGCTGCTTGTAACTCTGTAATGCATCAACAAATCGTTCATATATAACACACGCTACTACAAAAGCATGTGATAGTTATCAATTCATTAAAACAGACAAAACAAGCCTAGTTGCCTACTATGTGCTAAAGGTGTTTAACTTGCCAAGGTCAGGGGGAGCTCCTTTAGGAAGTGACAGTTAAGCTGAGACCTTAGAGGGGAGTCAGCTTATCTAAGGGTACTTGAAAAGACTCCCAGACCAAGAGAACGGCATGGTCCAGAGAAGACTACAGTGGCAAGAAGCCATGGGGGATACAAGATGAGACTGAAACAGAACCAGGCACTTCCAGACCTTGTGGGTCATGTTGAAGATTTATCTATGTCCTCAGAGCAGAAAGAAGCCATTGAAATGCTCCAGCCAAAAGCTACCTTTACATAGCCTGTGAACTAGGTCTCAGGCAACTGAGCTCTTACTCAGATGTGTTGATATTTAAATAGAAATTGCTAAGCTTTTAAAGTTTTGTTGTATTTAGAGAGGTGCTTCTCTAACTGTAGTGTGTTTAAAAATTACCTGGAGGACTTGTTAAAACAGATTTTTGGGTCCCATTCCCAGATATTCTGTAAGTCTGGATGGTGTTCAGGAATTTGAATTTCCTTTTTTTTTAAATTTAAATTATTTATTCTTTAAGGTATTACATA